GCTAATTAACAGGCTAATGAAGTGCTAAAACTTCACTCACCAAAACTGAAATACAAACTTTTTGGATTAGTTAGATCAGTCTCTGCTATAAAGTCCTTTTAATGCTATAAACGTGGTCATTTTAGTAAGGGAGTCTATAGGGATAAACTGACATTTGATGCCAACCTCAAGTGGCTTAAAATCATTGTGTGAAACAGTGTACAATTCTGGGATCCATCTTTCCCCATTTGATGAGTTTGTCTACAGTGCAGATAAACAAAAAAAGCAGGAGAATGGCACTTAGCACCCTATCTGGTGCTACGTGGAAAAAATAATTCCTGAAGTCCCTGAAGTGAATTTCCATGTAAACGTTAATGCTAATGGATTTCATTATAAATCAGAGCATATTATGCCTCAGACACCTGCAATGAGCAGCTTATAATGAAGACTATTCTCTGTTTAAAGTCTTTAAGAACATTCAACTTTAACCGAATGGTTTCAGAATGAAATTTTGCTTGTTTAGAATGTGGTTAAAAAGCAACCCTAACCCTAAATAATTCATTGATGAGCTTGGTAATATGAAATATATCATAGATATGAGTGCCAAAGCCTACGTCTCCAGTTTGGTCAAAGAAAGCAGTCACTAACCTGAAGGACTGTACTGTAGCCTGGAGACAAATTGACTTTACACACTTTACACATAAGCACCAGCTTTTATATCTAGTATGAGCATGCATGGGCTGTGAGGGGTGACCAAAACCTGTAACTCTCCCATCTTTATTGGTTTGTCCTTTCCACATACCCAGGAGATGGGGAAACACACCCTTAATGGCCTTCACTTTATCATTAGTTAAGGAGTGAGTGCGGTTAACGGTGTGCTGACACAGGCAGGTAGCTCACAGTGTGCGAGATGGGAATATGGTTTTTGACAGAGGATGAAAAGGCAATAGAAAATTGCTGATTCCAGACAACATCCAGTGCAGCTTGAGAGCACAGCAACAAAAAGACCTCGACTGACTCATGACTTTGTCTGGAGCTCTTAAGGCTGTGCTGCACTTTGGAATTCCTCTCACAAAGCCAGACAGTGCTGTCCAGAGAAAAGTGTTTCGCTAGATTGACAGTGGGCTATTACTTTACACTGTGTGTTAGTGAGTCCAGCACCCGGTGGAGGTTTAATACTGACCACAGCCACAGACAAACGGACTGAAAAATGCACCTTGAATTGGACTTAACTGCCTCATGTAATTGTTTCCTTGAACATTTGAGGTGATTGTGTTGAGTTGCACAAAAAGCCTGATAGAGATTGACATGAATGGTGATGGTGCTGGTGACAAAGTGGATGTTAAGAGGTTAGGTAAGTGCTTTATACAACACAGCTCATTCACACCTAAGAACAACGCCTTTCTTTCTACAACTTAGTGCTTTCTATCCAATCTTTACAACATAACCCTTATACTAAGTGTGTTTTATGAATAATAATGACATGGCTTGCATGTACCCTATGGCGTATCTAATCTATGAAGTCAGTAAACATTTTCCTGGTGAGTTTCTGGTCTTATTGGAGTCTTTCTGAATGTAACATGCTGTTCGTTTTGTAAATTATGGTCTCCTTCAGAGTCAAAAAGGACTGTGAACCAGCAGTTCCACCTTGTGATTGACAATGCGCTACTGCATAAGCGTGGAGTGTCCCTTACTCCATCCATTCATCCATTACTGCCAGTTTCAGAACGCCACGTGACACCCAGAGTGTTGAGCTTGAGGCTGCACTAACCAATGGGTGACATTCAGTCTTGGGGGTTCAATTCAATTCAATTTTATTTAAACAAAGCCAAATCACAACAAAAGTTGCCTCAAGGAGCTTTATACTGTAAGGTAGACCATACAATAATACATACAGAGAAAAACCCAACAATCATATGACCCCCTATGAGCAAGCACTTTGGTGACAGTGGGAAGGAAAAACTCCCTTTTAACAGGAAGAAACCTCCGGCAGAACCAGGCTCAGGGAGGGGCGGGGCCATCTGCTGCGACCGGTTGGGGTGAGAGAAGGAAGACAGGATAAAGACATGCTGTGGAAGAGAGACAGAGATTAATAACAAGTATGATTCGTGGCAGAGAGGTCTATGAACACATAGTGAGTGAAAAAGGACGTTGAAGAAGAATTACTCAATGCATCATGGGAATCCCCCAGCAGCCTAAAAATGATTGCTTCCAAGGCAGGGACCATGTTTGAGATCATTCATAGTGAGTTGCTGTTTTCATCTTTGGTGCATCAAGTCAAAGATAAAATTAAGTAAAAACAAGTAAACAAATAAGATGGAGTCGATCTGCTATCATTCTGTGTTTGAACAGGGTCAAATTGGCAATTACATGCAATCTGTTTGTGATCATCCAGTGATTAACTGTAATTAATCAGTGAAAATCTGTTGCCTTCAGCAAGAACTTCATAGATTTAAAACCGAAATTCCTCCATCAATATTAATGTTTAAGTCCAAAATGACACAGGTGCTCAGCAACCTTGCTTTATAGGAATACAGGAATATCACAGGAATGCAAATAGCTGGCAACCAGTTGAGTTGGGCTCTTTATTTTTGCAGATGTGCTCTTTGGTGCAAACTGTTGCAAACCAATACAAAGTCTTGCCAATCTTTCTACATTTAAAAAGCCAATGGCAGTTATTTGCAGATCTTTTCCAGTCTGTCTGAGAATGATTGCAGTCATTCTGAGTCAGACTACAAGCAGTGGGAGACAGGTTGCTTCCCACCAAGCATTGCCGCAAGCTCTGCAGTCACCTTGCCATCGAAATTGGACACCGCAACTACTTGCACTTGGTTACCGAATATGAAAAAATTCAATGCAATCGCCAGGCAACCACCAGGATTTTGTGACTGGGTCATTAAACATGGTGCTAACTGAGAGTGCTTCTGTATTACCTCTATATTAGTACAGGGATTTATGCAGATATGTGGACATAAGGTGACCTGGTTACCACTGTTATGCCTGTGTGGGTTTTGTCCAGATCATCCAGCTTCCTCCCACAGTCCAAAGACATGCAGTTAGTGGGGTTAGGTTAATTGGTGATCTTAAATTGACCATACGTCTGAATGGGAGGGGCCAAGGGGTGTCTGGCTCTGTTAGCCCTGTGACAAACTGGTGATCTGTCTTGAGTGTGCCCCCCTCTCGCCCTACGGCAAACAACACGGGTTGTTGGGGGCTAGAAGAAAATGGATGTTAAGTTGCTAACCGCTAGTTAGCTTTGAACATCGCCTGTGTAACATCACCCATGTGACCTCTAGTATCATAGGTGATGTGGCAGGCTAACATAAAAGTCATGTGACAACAGTGTAACTAAAGTACTTCCTAGAGTAGTAAACAAGTAAATTAATGCATTTTCTATTCTAAATGCAATGTGTAATTTAGTTGCTGCTGGCCAAATAAAAATCTCATACTTTAATATGCACAGGAGCCCCGTCGAGCCTAGACGCTGTAACAAATGATCCTGTGGGAGACGTACTGACAGCCACGTTCGGCATGGCTCCGCATGCCTCATCACCACTCACACACAAGTGCGTGCTGGTCCCAGGGTAAACTCCCACTGCATATCCCGTCAGCTCAGAGAAAGTGTCAATCAGCTCATCCAAGTCAGCTAAAGGGATGTGTCTACGCCAGCAAATACTGCCTGTCCTTGTCCTTCGCTACTTCTGACAGTAAATAATGCCCCTCTGGCCAAGATAGCTCTTTCATTCTGATTATTACACTTTATCATGCAAGGGAGGGGATTTTGCTGAACAAGTGAATACTGTTTCTTCACATCATCCCACCTGGGAAAGGTCCAGTACAAACATTTTTTTTCAAGGTAATTCTCAGAAATTCAGCAAGCCAAACCTTAAAAGGACTAAAGTCAAAGTGAAAATGAGTTTAAGGTGCTTCCATTGGACACCAGAGCTCTGTCTTCAGAAATAAAACCTACTGACACTCTGTCATTTGTCATCCTAATGAATGCAAATGACCACCAAAGCACAATTATCATCACACCGAGACCCATTAAAATCAACAAAAGTGAATGGTTTTATCATTTAGAAAAATGCATTTGTGAGTACAGTGGTTCCCTGCTTCATGTTTATCTCTCACGAACAGCATGTGCTGAACATAAAAGCAGCTGCAATGTGGCAGCTATCATGAATATCATGAAAACTTTTCAAGGTAACAGACAGACACATTAGTGTCACATTACAGGGCGAAGCAGATCAGTACTGCTGTTATAAATACTGCCTTGGTTCTGTTAACTGTTGATTTGCTGCCATCTTGTGCTGAGATTTAAAAAAGATCATTTGAATTTCACCATGTCGAAATGTTGTATGCTTTGCAAAATCTCCGCTCCACATCCAGGCTGATCTTGTGATTGGATCGGAGACTATGCAATTATGTGGGCTGCAAAGAAATGCCTGGATGAGATGTGGAGTGAGAGGAAATGTCTGTTAAAAAGTTTGTGTTAAGTGATGCTGATTTAAGAGTCTTTGATACAGTGCATCTAAGAATATAGAGCGGGTGAAGAAAGACGTAATAAAAAAGTGTTGTGCATTCATTGATTTTGATTTGGAATTATTCATTCTCATTCAGCACAGATACAGGTATGATTTACTCCTCTGTCTTCTTTAGTGTTTGCCCAGTTATAGACCTAAACATCAGCGTAACAAGCTAAGAAAATGCACCCAGCAAGGCCGAGCTTCTGACAAAGAAAGAAGAATAGAAACTCTGTAGAATTACACAACAAGCATAAAGCAAATGTTCTTGTATTGACAAGAAGCAATCGTAGAAAATTTTCACTCACTAACGGAGACAACTGCAAACCGCCCACTAGATGGCGCTCAATGCACACAGAGCATACATACGTGTAGAAGAAGAGGAGGGCGTTACGGAAGTCGTGCGGAATTCATTTGTCCCTCCTGACTTTCCGTCCTTGTTTTGTAAAAGCATACAGTACGTGCAAGTCGCCAGGTACGGAACAGTGTGTACTTTTCCTGCTGTACTCCCAACAACACAATAACATTTGTTTTCTTTATTATGAACACGAAGGCGCTCGTGCTTTGCACTGTGCAGTGGTCTTTTTAAGGTCACGTGAAAACAGGAAGTGCTTTAGATGAACTCTTATTTAAAAAAAGAGAAAGTGATAAGAGTAGATATCAGCTGACCGAACGACTCTCCTTGTGATAGCTGGTGCCAAAGCTAGCTGTGTTGTTAGCTAGCTGATAGTTGAACCTAAGGTATTTTAGAGGATTATAGTCTGTGTAGATTAATGTGTGAAATAAGTGTATTGGTCACATGTGTTTCTTCATGGAGGGACACATGCAGTCATTGCATCATACAAGCTATTTTAGCTCGGCTGGTTAGCAAAGCTAACATTTGGGAGTTTTAAAGTTTTCTTTTCCGTTTTCTGTTGGGAATAACAGTTTCTATCTTCTTCTTGTTACTCTTTCATCAAACAGGTTCAAGGATAAAAGGCGAGGGAAACTAAGCACAATGTCTAATGTAAGTGACCATTTTCCTCATGCTAATGTTATGGCTCATGCTAATGTTATGGGTACTGCTATTCACTTAGGCCAGAGTAGATTTTAAAAAGAATGTCTGATTGTCCAAGAAATAACTTTAAATCATTTTAAAACGCTGCACAATGATTTTGAAATCATTGAAACCCTATATTGATATTAAATATAGGGTTTCAGTTACAGGCAGTACTAGCTGTTGGCCCATTCAGGACAGTAACATTTTTATTCACCACTCAAGTGTAGCATTAAAGCACACTGTCTGAAACCACTCCTCGCTAATGAGTATTTTGGGGTTTTGTTTGTTTTTTTTAATTTTTTTTATTGGCAGTATTTTCATATTAAAAGGTCAAAACTTCATCAAACCACATGTTCAGATTGTTTAAATGCTAAAGAGAACAATATGTTTTTATCTGTTTCCAGTCAGAATAAAAACAACATAAAAATCAAAGCTCTTTTTATGCAGACAAACGTCTTAGTTAGCTTGAAATAACATTAAAATTGTCAGATTTCAAATAAACAATGTCTCAACATAAAAGAGAAAAGATTAAGGGAACGCTAACTCATAAAAATGAGTTTGTAATAGTCGTCTAAAGAAATGACACAATCAGCTGACCTGTTTGGTGGAGGGAGGCTGTTTCACAGTTTGGCTGCCCGCCACTACCTCAAAAGCACTGGTTTTAATCTTTGGTTTTAAAATCTGAGCGAGAGACAGTTACGAGACCTCTGTTAGAAGATTGGAGAGGTCAGCTGCAGTGATAAGGTCTTAGAAGCTATGTTATATAGGAAGTCCATGTGTTGAACTGTGTCATCCTCTCCTCTTTATGAGATCAATTCCAAAAAATTTTGAAAAGTTTTAGTCTGATCACAGGAAAGCATTAAATTCCTCAATACTCCAACGTATTAGATGCATCTGTCTCTTTATTTCCAGAGAACCAGAACTAAATGGCAGCATCCAGTTTGTCCTAAACAAAACATACAGTAAAAGTATGAAGCTGCAGACAGTCCACCGTGGGCAGGGCTGTTCCTGTTTCATGTATCTGTCTGTTAACACATGTCGTCGTCTGTCTGCAGGTGCTGTGTGGTCAAAGCAGGGCGGTCCTGTCTCGTGCTGCTGGCTGTCGAGCTTTAGCTTCTCTCAGGGCTGGAACAACCAGAACCTTCTCTGCTGCGAGCTCAGATGAGCCTTACATAGCGGTATCACATACAGACTCAGGTGAGTTGAACAGGAAAGGACGTCAGGCAGTGTTGCAATGCAGTTTTCAGTAGTAAACTGTTTAGCACCTGTGGCAGCAAACGCTGACAAATCATCTTTGTCACATCACTCCAGGCCCAAGGACTGTGTGGCCTGATGAGAACATGGGACCATTTGGACCTCAGGACCAGCGCTTCCAGTTGCCTGGTAACGCTGGGTTTGACTGCCACCTGGAGGGCATGGAGGACCAAAAGAAGGCTCCGGTTCACAAGACAGTGCCTGATGTGCTGACGGTTCCAAGCAGCACAGAGAGACACCAGTTCATACTGGCCCAGTTTGTCAACGAGTTCCATGTAAGATTTTTGAATAGTTACATTATGAGCTGTAACACAGTCAGAGCTTTTAGGACTACAGTTCAGAGCAGCAGAGAGAACAAATTAAAGTCAATGTCTTTGATTTATTTTAAATGTAAGTGAGCTGCTGTGGCTCATTGGTTTCAGGAGAAACACAGATGTCAGTAACACTTCATTGTAAGATTCCAAGTATGACAATTAACAATAAATAAATAAAAATTGAAAAAATAAGCCAGAGCTACATTTTTACCACTTTTGTCTGAGAGGGTGTGTGATTGTTTGTTTGTTTTTCAGGGAAAGCTGGGGCCTATTTCCACGAGAGTAAGCAAAGCTGAGCAGTACTTTAATCAGACAGAAACAGACTGTGCCATAAACTCCTGCCCAGAGCTGCTGAGGAAAGGTAAGAGAGATTCACCCAGCATTACCTTCGCTGACTGTGAGTGTGGGCAACACAAGCCAAAATGATATCTGGATATTTAAGAATTTACGATAACAATATTTCTGATGATATAGAAGAAAAAATACTGAATATTGTGGTCATAAATATTTTGTACTTGTAAATCAGACTGTGTAGTTGTGAACTGAGTTTTGTAACCTTGTAAACCAAAATATCTAAAACATTTGTGTTTGTGCATCTATAGATGAGAATTTGCGTCTGTGTATTTAAAAAAAAAAAAAAAAAAAAGATTATACACATACAAGGGAAAAAACTACTAACTTACATTTTTCAGATTTTTTTCGTTTCCAAGGTTACAAAACTCAGTTCACAACTACAACAAACAGAATGGTTTGAGGTAGAGCTGGGCGATATGAGATTTTTTCATATCACGATATGTTTTTTTCATTTCAGGCGATAACGATATCTATCACGATATCAGCCAAATAACTATATTTGTAAGATTTAAATGTGCAGTTGCTCACAAGTAAAATGTGAAATAATCAGCAGCTTGTTTTTAACTATTTATTTCCCATAATAAGTTCAACAGGGTAGATGTACTTAAGGAACATGAGACTTTTTCAGATAAATAAAGGCAAATATTGCAAACTACACAAAAGGCAGCCGCTAAAGCGTTTAAGTTTCAAAATAGAACAAACGAAACAGACGACGTCAATTCCACTTAGAAACAAAATATTAATTCTAAAAATAAATCTTAGTTTGTTTTACAGAAGAACAGACAAAATTGACTAACTTTTGTCAATATCAAATAAACTGAGAACTAAAAGGAAATTCTCAATCTCTCCTTGTTGTATAGCTGAGCTTTTCAAACACTTTTAACAGTTACTTTAGTCTGACAAAAGCCGAATGACGAATTAGCGCTTCCAGTCAGAGATTGAGCATGCACCACTTTATTGGATTTCCAGACTTGCTTTCGGCACAATTTACAGTGCACGCTACTCTGTTTTTTGTCAGACTTGAAATAGCCGAAATACCTTCACGCTACGGAACTTCTATGGCTCTTCCGTTCGACAATCTCTCCGGCATTGGAACCATCATCTGTTTTCTCTTCGGTAAATTTTTTTTCTCTTCGATTTTTCTCTAGTCGGCACACTCATTTCCTCCATTACCCGGGCGGCACGGTGGCTGGCTGCTTCCCAAACAAATACACATGTGCGGCTTGGCACTTGTGCTGTACGTAACAAGTCACGTGACGTGACGCTGCGGCTGTGATTGGTTCGGCTCTGCGCTACTTAATTCGGATTGGCTGTTCTTTTTTTTCTTTTTTTTTTAAGAGGACAAGAGCGATGAGGTCTATCACAATAGTTACATTTTTCTATCGAGAAAAAGTATATATATATATATATATGTGTATTTCGCAATACATATCATTATCGTTCTATCGCCCAGCTCTAGTTTGAGGCATGTCATACAGAGATGAAAAGAGTTATAATTTGCTTTATTAACATACGTGCGCCTCTGTGTCTCAGATCTGGAGCAGTTGTTTCCTTCGGCGCCCACAGTTTCCATCACAGTGGTGACGGTCACGCAGACGAGCGGTCGGTCAGAGGACAAGGAGACAGAGCTGGATAGAGACCAGCTGCTAAGTAAAGTAAGTCCTCGTGTGTTTCCCATTACAGACTTCAGAGGTTGTAGCAGTTGGTGACTGTGACTTTGTCCTAACTGCAGTTTGTGAGCGGGGCAAAGGAGATGTGTTTCGCTCTGTGGACTGCAGGATACTGGGCGGACTTCATTGACCCAACAACGGGAGCAGCAGTGAGTAATTCTGTGTTCACTGTGCCTGTTCTTTACTGTCTCAATCTGCAATCTAAACTCACAAAGCATATACTTATTCTATGAATGAAGCTTACGTTAGTTTAATTTTCTTTGATAGAAAAAATGTTATATTGAAGTAGTTGTCTGTTGGGTGGGAAAAGCCCAAACACATTATGATGTGAAACCACACATGCTTATAAACCTTTTGGTTACATTGTTTGGAAAATCTGGAAAAATGTATTTTCCCTTGTAACATTTCTAGAGATTTTTCCCGTTAAACTTCCTGTCAACTCAAATTCTGGTAGTTCAGCTGTGAAAACTGAGGACAACAAACAGAACAATATTGTTTTAATAATGGAATTTTCCCCCCTTTCCTCAACAGTTCTTTGCGTCTCCATTGGGCGAAACCACACTGCGAACAGACAGTGAGCTGGGACATCGGGGCTTTCACATCGAGGTGTCGAGCTCCTGCACAGTCATCCGCCATATCCTCAGGGGGACTCCTTTGTTTGTGGGGACTATTTTCACCAATGCACCTGTTCAAAGTGCTGCTGTTGCTAGACTTCAAGGATTTTCAGACGCACTCAATGATGAGGAATAAACTTTTTTTTTTTTTTTTTTTAAATAGAATAGAATCAAATTCAAACAGAAGGGTTCTGTTTATGGTTTGGAGAAGCTGCTAATGTTTCCTGTTATGGAGCTGGTTTGTATCAATGGGAAGTTGTGTAATGTTGTAACACAAAGCATCTGTGCAGACCTCTGTGTTGCTAAGGATCTAACTGACACTCTAATGCGAACGTCAGTGCTGTGTCTGACTGACAGAAGCGTTACCCTGCTCTGCATGCAGGGAGACACTCAGAGAAGAAACAATTTCACCATGTGCTTCATCTGTAGACAATGTTCATATTTTACAGTTTGAGTATTTATGAAATACTGCGACAGATGTTCTACAGCTGTTGGTGCTAACTACAAGGAAAATCTCTCCGTTTCAAACACCTTAACATGTTAGCGGCTCATTCTTTTTACAGCAGCAAGTACAGTGTTGGTTTTCTCTGATCTGTTGCACACAGTGTAAAGAAACGATGGAGAAATATTATAAATAGTTTCAGAAGATTTCAATTTATTATGGGAACAGCTCCCAGAATGCACACTGACCTGGATGAACATGGACACATTGCTTATTAAATTATATTTATGTACTTCAGCTTTTTTGTGACTGGCTGTGTCTTGCAAACAGGTTTGAACAGCAAGTGGGCGGAGCTTCAGTGCTGTCAACCAGTGCTCTGATGACCATATTAGGGAGTCCTGAGAGCTTGAAAAAGGGAGGCAACTGGACTTCTTTAGGTTTTAAAAATCCAGATGTCTTCTCTTATTATTGTTTAAGTCTATAATGATCTACCATATTAGGGATAGTCAGCATCGGCACGCAGAGCCAGGAGTAGAAGACATATCTGAGACAGTGTTTAGATCATTGTGAAGCCTGAGCTTTTGACTCAGAGATGTTTATTATGAGCTATATACAAAGTAACATTATAAATATAACAGAAAACACAGAAATGCAGATCGACTATTAAAAAAGTGGAAAAGAAGAAAGGAAACCAAAGTTGAATCAGTTGTCTTGCATATAAAAATGTCTTTAAACCTTCAGTTACTGAAACACGCAGCCAACACAGGTCCCAGTTCTGCCACTACACATACCAGCTGTTCTCTTTCTACGTGTCTCAAACACGTCCAGCTGTGAAGATGACAACAATGATGGCGATGATGATGAAGCACAGCGCTCTAGAATGAAGACTCCCGCTCAAACTAACCAAAGGAGAAATGGAGGAGAAAATGGCACTGCTGTCATTTCTGGGCACCAACACGTTGCAGATGTTCCCCTCACAGCAGGAAGAGCACACCTGAGGGATGAGAGGAAAGCCTATCACGTTAAAGTTGAGGAGACATCTGAAGGCAGAGCTCTCCACGTACCTGGTAGCCAGTATCGGCAACGTCAGCACAGCCAGTGAACAGACACTCCTCCAAGGTGGCACAGCGCTTGGTCACAAACACACTTTCCCCACTTCTATCCATCATGTGGAGGGTGGAGCAGTATTTAGTATCTGAAGGACAGTAAAATTCCCTTCATGTGACCAATTATGTCTTAATAACTTGACAGATTCACAGGCAGCCCCAATATGAGGAGTACAAAGTTTAAAACTGCCAACAAATATTTAAATTTAGAAAGATAAGAACTACCAAACGGTACTCTTCAGTGCATGACACTTTCAGCTTTTGGTGATCACAGTTTGTTTAGAGAGTTGGATGGCAGGTAGATGATTTTCAGATTCCACAGTGGGCTCTGGCCCTACTGAGTTTGGGAAAACGTGTTTCCATCAACTCTAACTGCACATTAAGAATGTGTTCCAGTTGCCAAGCAGATGTAGATCCCCGTGAAGTCGACCGAACGTGCGAAGTAAAATTCCAAGAAGAAGGAAGCAAAGTTCCTCTGATGAAAGATAACTGTGGGAACACCTGTTCATCACTACGTTCTACACTGATGAGCAAGATTAGCCATCAGTCGTCACACCTTGCTGAAGTGTTGGCAAAAAGGGCATGCAAATGAGATTTTGGAGAAGGGGGGGCTAGCATCTCCCTCCACTCACCTCCAAAACCACCTGTAAGCCACTTCCGCTTAAAAGTTCTTCCTTCCTACCAAGTCCTAGCAAATTATTATAAATATTGTTTATATCAATCTATTTTATTTATTTTAATCATTTTGTTGATGTTCGTTTGTAGCGCATTCCCAAAGAAACACGTTTCTCAAGAGAAGTCACTTGAACTGACATCTCCTTGAGCAGGCAGCCACAGATGAATCAAAAGCTGACGTACCCTTTGGACAGTATACGTCCGGGGCCCAGCGGTTGCAGTCGTAGTTGTCTACAGCATCTTGGCATGTGAAGCACTTGAATCCGCCAGGGTAAGGAGTAGCTGTGGAGACACAACTGTATTCAGTTTTAAGTTCAATAAGTGAAGAAGGCGTGTTTTCATTCGTCCTGTGTGTAATATCATTCCTGCAGAAAGGGACCTTCATTCATCAACCTTCTGGGGTGTTTTTTTTAATTAGCTCATTCAATCACTGTACACATTCTCTGTGTTTCTGGGTGATTTCAGAATCATAAGAGAGACGAACGTCCTAAAATTCGACCACCCCTGCCTTTTCCCTGGCTTCTGACATGGTTATGAAGTTGCCCTCAAAGCACAGATAGGACCAGAAGATGTGAAGGGCTTGTTAATCAAAGCTGGAGGGGCCCCAAAACCAGGTGCACTTTGGTACGAATCTTCCTGAAACGAGTTTCCATCTTATCCTGAGGCTTGTTTTTCCGAGGTGCCCCGACTTCCTTGCAAAGACGTGTGTTAGGTTTTTGGGGATTGGATACTGGGCTCAGGTTTGGATGTAAGATAGACAAAGCTCTTAAAGTATATAAACTATGACTCTCATACAGTGGGGCAAAAAAGTATTTAGTCAGCCACCGATTGTGCAAGTTCCCCCACTTAAAATGATGACAGAGGTCAGTAATTTGCACCAGAGGTACACTTCAACTGTGAGAGACAGAATGTGAAAAAAAAAATCCATGAATTCACATGGTAGAATTTGTAAAGAATTTATTCGTAAATCAGGGTGGAAAATAAGTATTTGGTCACCTCAAACAAGGAAAATCTCTGGCTCTCACAGACCTGTAACGTCTTCTGTAAGAAGCTTTTCTGCCCCCCACTCGTTACCTGTATGAATGGCACCTGTTTGAACTCATCATCTGTATAAAAGACACCTGTCCACAGCCTCAAACAGTCAGACTCCAAATGCCGCCATGGCCAAGACCGAAGAGCTTTCGAAGGACACCAGGAAAAGTATTGTAGATCTGCACCAGACTGGGAAGAGTGAATCTACAATAGGCAAGCAGCTTGGTGTGAAAAAATCAACTGTGGGAGCAATCATCAGAAAATGGAAGACATACAAGACCACTGATAATCTCCCTCGATCTGGGGCTCCACGCAAGATCTCATCCCGTGGGGTCAAAATGATCATGAGAACGGTGAGCAAAGATCCCAGAACCACACGGGGGGACCTGGTGAATGACCTGCAGAGAGCTGGGACCAAAGTAACAAAGGTCACCATCAGTAACACACTACAACGGCAGGGAATCAAATCCCGCAGTGCCAGACGTGTTCCGCTGCTGAAGCCAGTGCATGTCCAGGCCCGTCTGAAGTTTGCCAGAGAGCACATGGATGAAACAGCAGAGGATTGGGAGAATATCATGTGGTCAGATGAAACCAAAGTAGAACTTTTTGGTATAAACTCAACTCGTCATGTTTGGAGGAAGAAGAATACTGAGTTGCATCCCAAGAACACCATACCTACTGTGAAGCATGGGGGTGGAAACATCATGCTATGGGGCTGTTTTTCTGCCAAGGGGACAGGACGACTGATCCGTGTTAAGGACAGAATGAATGAGGCCATGTATCGTGAGATTTTGAGCCAAAACCTCCTTCCATCAGTGAGAACTTTGAAGATGAAACGAGGCTGGGTCTTCCAACATGACAATGATCCAAAACACACCGCCCGGGCAACAAAGGAGTGGCTCCGTAAGAAGCATTTGAAAGTCCTGGAGTGGCCTAGCCAGTCTCCAGACCTCAACCCCATAGAAAATCTGTGGCGGGAGTTGAAAGTCCGTGTTGCTCGGCGACAGCCCCAAAACATCACTGCTCTCGAGAAGATCTGCATGGAGGAATGGGCCAAAATACCAGCTACTGTGTGTGCAAACCTGGTAAAGACCTATAGTAAACGTTTGACCTCTGTTATTGCCAACAAAGGTTATGTTACAAAGTATTGAGTTGTATTTTTGTTATTGACCAAATACTTATTTTCCACCCTGATTTACGAACAAATTCTTTACAAATCCTACCATGTGGATTCATGGATTTTTTTTTTTTTTTCACATTCTGTCTCTCACAGTTGAAGTGTACCTCTGGTGCAAATTACTGACCTCTGTCATCATTTTAAGTGGGGGAACTTGCACAATCGGTGGCTGACTAAATACTTTTTTGCCCCACTGTAAGTATTCTCACAGATGAGAATCAAATCAAAACTGCTGCTGTTTGTACATAGTAAAACTGTTTTCATATTTCTTGTACCATTTCTATTTTGATGTATTTGTTTAATTCACATGTCACAATGTTCACACTGTTCAGGTTTGATGCTTTTCTTATTAAAATAAAGTGCTGTATGACTGTGGCCTGTAGTATAGTGCACTTTAAAGGTTACGTAAATAAATGTATATACCAGTCTTTTTTTGGTTCAAATTAACTGCAAGTTCATCCCAGACCAATTTCATTTTATATTAACATTATTTGTTGCAGAAAAGGTTTTGAAAAAAGTGTGTCGCTATGAGTCTTAAGACTGTGTTTGTGTTGTTCACAATTCCACGAGGCCGAGCAATTTGTGCACCTACAATGGCATAGATGACATCATGTTATTTTTGTTTCACAATACTAACATTTAATTTTTATCCCCAAAACATCAGTTTTCTGTGGCATATTACGACACTATCACTTTACCTAGAAACCACCTAGAAGCAGGCTAAAATTAGCTGCTTTTTTTTCTTTGCACACTTAAAAACACCCTGTTGTTTTATCAGTAACCTCTGATTTGCCCCAAAAAAGAAAAGTTATTGAGTAAGTAAGTCATGATTGATGTAGACAAATAACTTCCATAAGTTCTCGATGGGCAATTGAAATGTGTGAATACCAAGTGACAAAACTGCTTTTTTTGGTCATTAGTAACACAAAACCCACTGGTCTACAATGCTTTGTATACCACAGTGGGGAACATGTAAATTATGCATATATTACTAACTGTGTTAATAACTGTGACTGTCATCTGACTGTTACTTTAGAAAGGGCAGTGGCATTAGCATAGGTGCACTTTCTTGGTAAATACATTGGACACTTAATCATTTAAAATAAAACAAGCTGTTGTCCAGTTTTTTGTTTATTCTAGGCAGAAATTTCTGTCTATTGAGAAAAATCCACTAAAACTACTAAATTAAAACAAATCATGTTACTGTCTAACATGTTTCTCATTAAAGTAAGACACTTTAGCAGTTTTACTGGATATTTATGTTTTAGCACATTTCATATATTCATTTAAATATTTGTATTTTGACTTTTAACTATTAGTTCTTTAATTCATTCAGTGTGTGAATAAACATGTATAGTATATCACAGTTGTTTTGTTCCTTTCACATCCTTATACAGTCCCTACTTTTATGCAAATCAGAGATGGATAAGCGGAAAATGTAAAAACTTCCTGATTTGAGATGAAATTACCCAAGTGTATACATTTATATGGATCCACATTTTGAAATAATAATAAGAGTTGTAAAGTGCAGAATCCGAATATACAGGTAACCTAACGAGTGAAAGGTGTTTTAAGCTAGGGAAAAATCATTGGTAATGGAAATTCAGCTCAGGTGAACCTCTCAGTTTTTTGTCTCTATTCATGTGAGTCCTGCAGCTCGTTTTTACATGAAGGCTCTGGCAGGTACACAAAAACTATACAAACACGCTTCTGGTTGTGAAACTTTGGGTTAATTAAAAATATGTCATTTGGTCAATCACCTTCTGATTTTCTGCTTATTTAACAATTATACTGATTACTAAAAAAGAAGCAATAAATCTGTAGCCTGTGTCATAGATGCTCTCCAAAGATTTATGGATACTCATCAGTCTACTCCACGTCTCTGACTCAGGGATCAAACAAGGACCAGCCACTTTTCAGTCAAAGAACAATCCTGTTATTCTCAACAAAGACACAAACCAATCGCTTTGATGATCATGAACCACATCCTTGTGTAATAAGTTTCCAAGATTTTTTTCAGGAATTTTGAAAAGGGATTCATCAGTGTTATTTCCAAGAATTAATTCCAAATAAAGATGAAATACATTTGATCTTTTAAAGGTGCAAGTTAAATAGCAGAACTGTAACTTATAACTGGAATAAGTTTACTTAATATGTGTTAGTGTTTTAAGAACACACATTTCAATCAGTGTAATCTATGTTATAACAGCCCTAATCTGTTGCTTTTGTTTGTCTGTCATACGTCAATGGTTGAGAGAATGAAAGCTGCAGAACCAGCTTACAATCAGAGAAGGATGCCAACTATACTTTTATATATTTATATTTTAACATATTGTAATAAACTGTTGTTTTGGCAGCTACAACTGATTTAAATACAAAACGAAACTTTCCATTAAGTTTTATTTGTGCATGTGTAGCGTTTAAATGCATCTGTACTCACTCGTTACTCATTCAGTTAACATGACTTTTGTACCTTTGTAACATTTATTTATTTAAATAAAACAACAGTTTTGTTTTCTACACCGTGCTTGCTTTCTGCTTTTCTTGCAGCTTGTTTCCGATAGATATTATTAAAATGTTCCATTCAAGTTCAGTGCACGCTATTTAAAAACAATGCCGCTAATGTTATTCAGTCATATTCAGTATCAAACCTTTAAACAAATTGAGATGTAAAATAGTACTCCTATACTCCTACTTGAGGGGTGCAGCAGGATGATATCCTTCATGGTGAAGTCCCGTGACTGCGCAGTTTTCACCCAGTCAGTGATGGTGGTCAGCAGCAGGACCCAGGCCACTGTTGGCCAGGCCTCCATTATTGCACCAGAGTGTCTTCATGCACTTAGGCCTGTTGAACATGAGTGGATTAAAATGACAATATTAGAGAATCTTAAACGGATAAAGAATGTAAACACTCAGCCTCCCTGAGCTTTTTTTAAAGATACTACAGAGTCTTTTTAATGTATTGTTATTTTTGGTGTACAAGAAAGCATGATTAAACCACAGTTGAACTCAACGAAACATCAACAAAAGGCTTCAAGTGGCTAATAATAGAACCAATAAGTCTATAAATGTGACCACCTGTGTTCCTTCTCATGCTGTGAGCCTGCTTCATTAATCAAATGTCAAAGGAACTCTACGAGCCAGCTTTAAGCCTCAGCATCCCTTTCTGGATTTAACAGATAATGAAAGTGCTGATATTTCCATATTTTACTCAAGAAACTGAACACTGGTCATGTAAACCTATATTAATGCTCTCATTATTTTAATGCCAATCAATAAAACTCTCTAGAAACTATTCTTGAACTAATCTGAAGGTAATATGAAGTTTATAGGTCTGTAGCAATTGACCCTGCAGAAAGTTGGTATCCTCTGTGGACTATGCGCCCCAGCATCCACTGACCAGCATCACCACCTGCAGGAGCCACCATAGAGGTCAAGTGTAGTGCATATCAGCTGGAATGGGAGAGGACCTGATGAGCCGATCCCTGACTGTTGAAATTAGCTCTATTGACACAAAATGTCACCTGTCTCGTGGAGAAGGAGACTGAGCTAGTGGTTGAGGTTATTGGAATCAGTCTCTTGTAAAGGGGCTGGGCTCCCTCCAGTCTGGGGTTGCCCTTGGTGAGAGATTGCGGGCAAGGGTAGGTAGGTATACTTGTATCCCCCATTGGAGTACTTTCTATATGTTGGGGTTCTCCCCGTGGAAGAGAGTTGTCCCTGACTATTACTTCAGCTTATGAACCAAATTATACTTCAGAGGTACACACAACCTTCCTGTAATCACTGAAAAAAAAGAGTATGGTTTGGGTAACCTGTGGGACTCCAGAGGAAGCTGACAGGTACCAGCTGGCAGATTGCAGCTTATGTAGTAGCTGAAACAAAAAGTCTGGTGTGGGAGAAGTTTGGTGAGCTCGTGGAACAAGACTTTTGGTCAGCGTTGAAACGATTCTGGCAAACCACCAGATGACACAAGAGAAAAGTGGTGCTCTATCTATCTATAGGGGTGCTGCTGACTTCAGCTGAGGGTACAGTCGGAATTCTTCAAGGATCCCCTCAATCCCAGTGACAATGCTTAGAAAAAGCAGAGTCTGGGGACGATGGGGACAACTTGCCCATTATTAGAAGTGAGGTCATTGAAGCAGGTAAACAACTACTTGGTGGCAGGATCAGTGGGGAGGGTTCCTTAAACCTCTGGACGTTATGGGGCTTTCTTGGTTGACATCCCCCTGCTACATCACAAACAGATCTGGGGCAGTGCCTCTGAACTGGCAGACTGGGGTGGATGTTCCCATCTTTAAAAAGGTTGACCAGAGGGTGTACTCAAATTGCAGGAGGATCACACTACTCAGACTCCAAAGGAAGATGTACGTCAACGTACAAGAGAGGAGACTATGTCCTGAACCTTGGATTCAGGCGGAACAAAGCAGTTTTCTTCCTGGTCATGGACCTCTGGACTCTTTGGGTTGTGTTGGAATTTCCCAGTCAGTCTACATGTGCTTTGTGGACTTGGAGACTGTATTCAGTCACATGTGTAAATGCTGTTAAATAATGTTCTGTGTAGAGTTCATGATGTGGATGATTGATTTATAATGGATTACAAAATTTCATGAATATATATAGTAAGTGTTAAAAATATCTTTATTTGAAATGTACATGTGTAAAGTGTAAGAGCTGGTGTCTCATGAGAATACCCTTAACGAGAGTAAGCGAGACCTTTCGTGTACTGCGAGGGAGCAGATGTCTCTCATGAAGCGTGTTAAGCTAAAGGTTTATTAAAAGAAAAGCAGCACAAGGACTTAAGGACCTCTTTTCAGGACAAACAGTCAGTGAGGTAGTTGTCATTTGAGAAATGTTTTTATTTGTGTTTGGACTTAATATGTGTACTGTGAAGTTGCTAAATGGTTTGTACTGGTCACTCGTGACCAGTTCTCATGGCGTATTGGCGTACTGGTGTACTGGTGATGGTGAAGCTGAGGAGGAGAGAAAGCCCAAGTAATAAACGCCTGTTTCAAAGAACCGACCAGTGTCTGTGTCGTGAAGAGAGCTACAACATGCAGCTTCAGGAGCATGGAGTATCTGGCTTGTTGCTACTAGCCATTCAGCCCCCGCTCAACCGCAGTGATAGTTTGGTCCACATTGCCAACAATAAGTCAGAGTCATTGTAGTAAAGCTATTTATTTTGCTATAATTAAAGCCTCATAGAGGATTTTGAGATTGTATTGATATTATATCTCAATCCTGAGCTTTCAGTTAGAGTCCAGTCAGAACACTCCCTCTTTTTAGATTCACTGAGACGTCAATCAGTGAATTACACACCAGATGACCTGGTTTTATCCCTGACTTTTATGTTTTATCCCCAGGCACTGTGCCAGACTGTGGGGCTGTAAATGCTTGTTTTCTTTGCATTATGCATGCCCCAGTAAAATGGATCCACATCTTTACTTTGGTCCAAACACCCATAATGTAAAGTGCTACAAGAACACACTTGTTTTACTTCCAACACAAAGACATGATTATAAGTCATAAGACCTGAAACTAAAATAATTTCATTAAAAGGAAGCTTAGTAACTGATTGACCACATACATTTTCAGGCTAAAATGTTAATTTTCAATGAGTCCAGGTTCTCAAATGTGAAAATGAATGCCACAGTGTCTAAGTGGTAGTTAATATTCAGGATTAAAATAATTAAAACCTCCTCTCTAGATTTGCATGTCTTTTCAGCATGTGCGAAACTAATAAACACACGAAAACACAAAAAGGTCTGTAAATCAGGCTTAATAACAGGATTAATCTAAAGCCTTCACAGCGGTCTCCTAGTCGTCAGAGAGGTCTCCTCCTATTGCATTCATCAAGCTCCTCGAAGCACAGTGCTACTGTATAGCTCTTAATCATACGCTGTATGCTGAAAGAAAAACTTGAGATTAGGTCCCAAACTTTGAGCTGTCTGAAGGATCCCTGCTTTGCCTGCAGTAAAATCTGTTTTTAGGTCTGAGAGGAGAAGGCAGGAGTGCAGGGATTATATACAAAGGCTCCCTGTTATAACTGGGGGGATGGAGAGGTTTCAATCAGCACCAACCAACTCCTTCGGGTCCCGGTTAAAAGGCTGTAGAAGGCTAAAAGAATCTGAAGGAGAGTCCGTCAAGACAACAGGGGATGAAGTTCAGAGATAGTGTAAACTGTAGATTGTTACCTGCTTAGTTACACATCTGGATGCATCCACACATTACAAAAAAACTAATGTGATGCAGATATATGGGCTAAATTGAAAGAAATGGCTCGGAGTTTAAGATGAATCTTATGAATATATATTACTTGACATGCACTAATGAAAAAAGCGACAGACCTAAACTGTCTTATGGACATCATGAAGTTCATAATTAGAATTATTTGCACTTCATTTTTGGCATAAAAGAAAGTAATGTGCAGAAACATGTGCAACTTGTTACATCTTAGAAGAGAAGATGTGGAGGCAAATATAATGAAAGACTAATTAGTGACAGAACACAACTGGAAACTACAATATGTCACATAAAAAAGTTCAAAACAAAAAAGAGCAAAACATTAATTGATCTAATAATAATGGCGGCTCCAGTGGTTCCAAACCATTTCAGTTAACTATACCTCCACAGCCACAGCTATGTCAAATAAACTCAAATATCACCTCACTGATGATGAGATCATTTCAGTGTAATTTAACCTGATTTTTTTTTTTAAATTGAACAATGTTTAATTTTGCTGTGATATTTACAATACAATTGAACTTGAATGCAGGGTTAGTTAAATTATGTACTTTTGTAGTACAACCATTTCAACATCATCATAATTTATCTGTGTGGTCACTGTATTAGCTTTTTACATATATCATTTGGCCATTATTTTGAACAATTTTATTTAGCCACCTGCCCCCTAACGCTATGTAGCTAGCTTAAATGTTAAATGTTAATCCAGTAATGTTAGCTTGATACTAGATATTCATTATACACAGATTTTTTTATTAGTATTTTCCACTACTATTTCAACTACTACGTTTAGACATGAACTAATAGTATATAATAGTGTAACCCATATATAAATATAAATTGTTTATTTTAACCATTATCTGTGCTGATGGCTAATTATTAGCCATTATGGCAACCATTATCCAGTGCCAAACTATCATAATGAAATGTATATTAAGTTTTTATTGCAATTTTTAGCAAATAACTACAACCTTCTTTACCAAAATCATAATGTTCTAGTGTTGCACTTGACTCAGAATGTCTTCATTTCCTTTAGTTTACACCCAGGCAAACTCAGTTGTTGAGCTAATAGATCTAATTTAGTAAAATCCACTAACTCACTCTGCAGTCTGACCTGACAAAAATAGCTGGCTTATTGCTCCAAATTGGTCATGTGTTTCAAAAGAATACTTGATCAACATTTAGACCACCAGGGTTGACTTTGAAGATCAGCAGCTCAGCTCTATTGACCAGACACATATGGCAGGGGCTTAACTTCTTTCATTCCACTGATTTTCTCCCTATCTATCACGTCAGAGATAATTGACTGCATTCACAAAATTCTTGTTTCTCTTGTATAATTAGGTGGTTGAAATGTCATAAATATAAAGTCCCCTTCCCAAGCATTGCCATCTGGATTTACTGACACACTACATCACTGCGTGATTTTTGTGAGGTTTTTGCTTAGCTCATAAAGCATCTGACATTTTAACATTGTTTAACATGACCAAAAAGGTCACAGTTGGCCAGACACTCTAAATGAATGTAGTCTCCTTACTGCCTATTTGTATTAGCTGATTCATTATGATACATAAATCAAGATAATATGACAAGCAGACATTCCTTAGAAGTACATGTGACCTGTGCTATATAACATTTATAATTGGATTATTATCTCTTGTTATCTCTAAAGCTGCTCCAACTTTAAACTGTAACCTATTGTGACCAAACTACAAAACTTGGCTTTAAAACCACAAAGCAGTCGTGCTGAGAGGTCAAGTCTAAAGAACTGGACTTTGTGTGTATTTAAAATTTTTATCAACATTTGGGTAGCATAGCTTCCACACTATAAGGAGGGATTTAATTGAGTCCAATACAATATTTTTGCAATGTAGCTGCTTTATATGTAAAATAGGGGTGTGAGACATGTAGGTCAGGACCAGAACTGACCCAAAAACTCCAGGTTTTGTTCATTGGCACATCTACTTTGAAGGACATGCAATGAAACATGTAGTATAAACTGTACTTTTTGAAAAGAAAGGCAGATTAAATATAGCTTTACTGGTTTGGCAACACTTCAGAATAAACTGGGTTATATGCGGCCCATGAACTAAAATGTAATGTTCTTATAGCTGTCAAAATTATTCAATCATTAAGCAGAATATAATGTATGTAGATAATACTTTACGGACTGTAGCACTTCACACAAAGTCTACCACATTAAAAGCACCATGGAAACTTGTGTAATCACAGTAAATTTACAACTTTTAACAAGGTACAAAGATTTACTGGGTTCCCACATAGTTCAGTTTAAGATCATATGCTGTCTCCACAACTATATTTGCTCTTCACTGAAATGGTGAATATGAACTAAATCTCACGATCAAAAACATGACAGCATTTCATGAAATATCATATCTGCAATTCATCTAAACGTAACGCTTCTCAATTGCACTGGTGCGCACGGAATTGATTTAAAATTACATGTGTTAGTACAGCTTGACTCTACGACTTTATCGCAACACTATTTTAATAAGAACTTACCAGCTTTAAATGCTCGATAGGACGCTCTCCATTCGGCGCGGATGAAGCTCAGAAACTAGTGAAGTGCAGCTCGGCGCGGCTGAGGAGGGGAGGGGGAGGCTGCAACGTCACAGACATCGGCACTCCCACAAATAGAAATGGATCATAAAAAAAAACAATGTTTTTTAATTCACCTTTTTTTCATGGCGGGGATTTATATATTATATATAGCAATGCACTGATATACAAAAATTTCCCTTTATGATTTTTTTAAAATATGCATTTTGTTAGTTATCAAAATGTATTACTTTCATAAACGAATTAATAAGTATATGTACGCTATTTTTCTTTTTTTTTCCCTTTTTTTTCTTAATTTGATAAAATACTTTTTACAGTGTTGCTGAAGTTTAAGTGAATGTGTTATTTTTGCCAGTTTTAGCCGCTACATCAGGTGTTTGTGAGTGGGAGGGGCAGCGTCCAGCCGCCTCAGTGGAATTGCCCTCCTGGCCAAGAGGGAACAGAATGCCAGTAGAGGTGCCTCATTCCCACTGATGCCAAAGAGAGAAAGCAGGGGTCCAGGTGGCAGCATCACACTGAGAATCCTGGACAAGGTATGGAAAACCTTTGTCCAGAACTGGTCAAGTTGGGACAAGACCAGTATATATGGATCAGTGAGGCTTCAGCAGTTTTGCATCTATCACAATATGGAGTGATTTCAGAATAGATCTGAGATAATCTGGATTTTGAGAAGTGGGCTCTATGCACCACTTTAAACTGGATTAAACAGTGGCAGGCACATAATGATGTTGTGTTGACATCTTAGCAGGGACATAATTTCCAGGGGGGTTTGGGGGGCTATGACCCCCCCCAATAAAACTATGAATTACCTTGCATAAATAGGCTGTTGATTTTCTTTACTCATTTCAGTTATTACCAGCAAAATAGTTGCATGTTTAATCATCTGGGAATTTACCCAATTTATTTATTTAGACAGAGATCTTGACCCCCCCCCATTTTCAGCACAAAGTTACACCGATGCATGTTAGCTTATGGAGGCCCATGTTTTGTCATGTCTAAGTCTTCTGCCCATAATGTTCTGAGTTTGGATGAAGGGGTTTGTGTCAAGTTTAATATTTTATCGTAAAGCAGGGAGATCGGCCCTCTATTGGTCGGATTGAGTTGTAGGATAGTTTCTAATAGTGTAGCTCTGGTAGAGGGCTTGAGCCTGAAATCTGGGAATGAATAAAGTGCCTGACTTGCAAGTAACTGAAAAAGTGTGTTGGTGGTAGATTGTATTTATTAGCAAGTTGTTCAAATGATGCTAGTTTGTTGGCTATGAACAGGTCTTTAAAGCAAGTTATTCCACTTCTGTGCCACTCCACAAACCCACTGTCCTGTGTAGAAGGTTTAAAGAAATGGTTAGATGCAGTGGGGCTGAGAGGGGAGAAGTCACAGAGATGAAAGTATTTCTTATACTGGCCCCATATTTTCAGTAAGTGTTCAGAAGGTTCAGTTTATACCCAAAAGCTGACCAAATTGACCAAGCAGATTTAATGTAGATGGTAATGAAGTTGAAGGCTTAGAAATAAAAAGCAGGAGATCATCTGCATAAAGCGAGACCTTGTGTTCGATGGTATTTCTCCAAATGCCGTGTACTTCTTTGCAACTGTGAAACGCAATGACAAGGGGTTCTACAGCCAGATTAAAATCCAGGGGGCTGGGAGGACATCCCTGGCGTGTGCCCCTGTGAAGTTTGAATGGTTTTGACAATTGGACGTTAGTCTGTTTTGTAGCAGATAGCTGAGAGTAGAGCAGTTTATTCCATCCATAATTTTGCTCCAAAACCAAATCTGTGAACGACTGCAAAGAGATTGTCGAAGTCAACTCGATCAAAGGCTTCTTCAGTGTCCAGAGAGACAACATATTCATCAGCATCTGTAGAGCTGAAATAAACTATGCTAAATAGCCTTCTTACATTAAAACGGTGACCTTTAATGAAGCCTGTTTGGGCTTTTGAAATAATTGTTGGGAGAACCAATTGTAGTCTACGGGCAAGAATCTTGGCTAATATTGTAGCATCTGTGTTCAAGAGAAATTTGTCTAAAAGAGTCACATTCCATCGGATCTTTTCCTTTCTTTGCAATAAGTGTGGTACAGGCTTCATAAAATGACTGAGGAAGAGATCCTTGTTTAATGCAGTCGGTGAGGGTTATACTAAGCTGCGCAGACAGTAATGTAGTGCTCTGATTAAAAATTCTGATGGGAAACCATCCGGACCTGGACACTTGCCAGATTGCATTGAGGCTGTAGCTAAGGAAACTTCTGACTGAGAGGTAGAGTCATCCAGCCTTGTTTTAAGTTCTGGTGGAATTTCAGGAATGTTAAGTTTAGGTAGAAAGTCATTAATTGCATTGCAGCCAGTTTGTGACTCTGAGGTGTTAAAGTTCTGAGTAAAAATCCCTGAATACTTCAGTAATGTTTCATGATCTGTAACCATGTTGCCATCTTGTGGTCGAGCTTCAAGAATACTTTGCCTTGCCCTAGAACTGTTGAGAAGGCTTGCCAGTAATTGGTGGGGTCTGTCACCATGCATGTAGAATTTTGATTTTGTCAAGCAAGAGCAAACGTTCAGTTGATTAAGTTGTGAGTGGGTCAAGTCTTGTTTTGAGTTCAACATGCTTTTTAAACATTTCGTGACTCTGTTTGAGAGCATACTGGTCATCAGCCGCCTTAATTTGTTGCATTGACTTATTTCGCTCATAAATGGACTGTTTTTCAATTTTTGCTGAATAAGCAATAATCTGGCCTCTGATATAGGCCTTAAAGACATGTGATACAACAAGGCTGCAAGTATTAAGGGAGGAGCTAGTGGCAAAATAAAAGCATATCTCATCTTGGCGAAACTTTACAAAACTGTCATCTGACGGAAGGGTTGAATTGAAATCCTATTGTGCAGTTTTTATAGGAAGATGTGGAAGAGGCAGAGACGGAGTAAGTGGGGCATGATCTGAAATAACTATGCTATGGTAGGCACAGGAGTGGACCTGCTGCAGACAGTTAGTGTCAGTGATAAAGTAATTATTTCTTGAATATGGTGCACATGTGGGAAGTAGTAGTCTCTCTTGTGAAGATTTAAGAAATGCCAGACATGACACATTCTATATTCAGTTGATTTATAGAACAAAGACAAAGTGCACATTCACCTTAAATGATAAGAACAGAATAACTATACAGTAGGTGGAAATTAGTCCAGAACAGGTTAAAAAAAGAGCGAATACATGAGGTTCATAGCAGTGACCCTCACCCTCGACAAACCCTCCCCCAGACAGAAAATAGCTGCCTCATCCGTAGAGCTCCGACATAATGTCCTTGTACTGCGCCTGCTGATTAAGGACCTTGGGATTGCAGTCCTCCACAATACCTCTTAAATGTGGACAAGCATCGTTAGTCAAAGTATAATTGTTCTGAAAGATCAATTGTGATAATATAGTCCTGAGTATAGGGGTAAATACATACAGTGTGAGGGGCGACAGAAGGATCTGGGCCTGTGGAGGTTTTTGGGCTGACATGTTAAACATCGCAATTTACAAAACACCAAACAAAGCAATAATTTTGGAGGAATGGTGTTCTGGTAAGTGTTGGTCCAATGCCTTGCATTTCCTTTATTGTTTCATGAGTCTGTACTACCAAAGCATTACGTTTCAGAGTCAAAGATGGAAATTTCAGGGCATGCATTTTTCTTGAGGAAATTACTGAGATACAAGCCGCACTAACTGCTTGTTCATTCGCATTCCTTGACTCAAACACATGGTATGCTGCGACAGATAGATAAGCTCATCACTGACAGGCAGCAGCCCTCTGACCTGACTGGTTATGTGATCCGTTGTAGAAAGAGCACAGAGTGAGATAGCAGCCCTTCAGATCCTTGGCACATAGAGGAATTTATGTAGTAGGCACACAGATATGCTATAATATGCTATAAAGTCTGGACAGATGGCTACTGCTGAAAGAGCACCTCACAAATATGCACACTATTCAAATGACAAAAAGTAAGAGCAGGAGAGACACGCAGAAAATTCCTAAAACTGTGGTTCCTATTGCACCAACTGTGATGAATCTGAATCAGTGAGTATAAAGCATATGTTGGATACGGCTCATATTTCATGAGCCGTATGAGCATTTTAAAAGCAACTGTGCAGACCGGAGGTCAAAACAACATAAGCTTGTCACACCGTAAGGTAGAGATCCTACAATACGACAGCAATGATACGATGATCCACTAGAAGTGAGCACATGGCAACATTGGGGAGGATGAACTCCCTTTTAATAGGAAGAGACCACTTGACTAAACTAGGCTCAGGGTGGGGAAGACACCTGCTGCAAATCGGGGGACATAAAGACTTTAACTTTTTTTTTTTTTTAAGTCAGTAGGAGTCAGTGTGCTCTAAAATATGGACTGGTACTGACTGATCAATGGAAAATGCATCTGTAGAGATACAGACTTTGAACTGTAGACTCATTCAATGCATTGTGCACATTTACAAGCTACACAGAAGGATCTTACTTAAACCCTACATGGAATAGAATATGAAATGCAACATCCATCCATTTTCTTCCGCTTATCCTCGCGGGGGCAGCAGCCCAAGCAGAGAATCCCAGACCTCCCTCCACCCAGCCACCTGCCCCGGGGCCTCCTCCCGGTGGGACATGCCCAGAAAACCTTGCCCAGGAGGCGCCCAGGGGGCATCCTTGTCAGATGCCCGAACCACCTCAACAGGCTCCTTTTGATGTGGAGGAGCAGCGGCTCTACTCTGAGCCCCTCCCGAATGGCCAAACTTCTCACCCTATCTCTAAGGGAGAGGCCAGCCACCCTTCGGAGGAAGCCCATTTCCGCCGCTTGTATTTGCGATCTCGTTCTTTCGGTCACTACCCACAGCTCGTGACCATAGGTGAGGGTAGGGGCGTAGATCCACCGGTAAATTGAGAGCTTCGCTTTTACACTCAGCTCCCTCTTCACCACAACAGACCGGTACAGCGTCCACATCGCTGCAGCCGCTGCACCAATCCATCTGTCGATCTCCTGCT